GTTGTTCAATCTAGATCAGTGTTTCTCAACCTTGGCCACTTGAAGATGTCTGGACTTCAACTTCCAACTCGCTGGCTGGGGAATTCTGGGAGTTGAAGTCCAGACATCTTCAAGTAGCCAAGGTTGAGAAACACTGATCTAGATTGAACAACTTGGGAGATCAAACGTTCTAGGAAAGTCTAGTAATTTGTGTTTTATCTTCACTGCTGTCTCTACGAATGCCATCCTTTCTCATACCTGCTAGCATGCTAACCACTGACAAGAGGATCTTCTCCACACTTTGCACAGGACTCCATCGTTCTGCACTGCTCTCATAGCCCATTGGATCATCTCCAGGAGCATGAAGAATGGAAATGCAAACTCTCCCATCTGGATAAACTGAGAATATTAGACAATAAAATGGGAAGCATTTTTCAAGTTAGTGCAATATTGATTCAATAAAAATTGTTAACAAAACTGTATTTTGAGACTACGTTAACAACACCAAAAGAGTTTTACCATCAAGGATGGAAACTATCTCATCTAACACATTTGTTGAGAAATCTGACAGCAATTATATACTCTTTCAATTCTAATCTAGTTTTCTGTAGGCTGGAGTTAAACATCACTATAGCTTTCCTATATATTTTCATTTTTTGTCAGAGAATGGCATTATAGTAATTTATAGCTAAGTAGCTGTTTATAGGATTAATAAAGTTGACAGATAAAAGAAGAATGCAAGACAGGGAAATGTACTGGGGCAAATACCAGTTTCATCATAAAATATCAAGATATCAACAAAAAAGAGGGAAGCTCTGTCTTTATGAGTTAATAAGTGTAGAATTGGCTTTGAAAAATTATGGCTGCATTTAAAATAAGTTAGCTTCAGTAAATAGTAGCAATTTGGTGATCTAGTCTGGGCTTGAAAATTAAACAGGGTCAGGCCTGGTGCATATGGTATCTGAATCAGAGAATACCAAGGAAAACCATGGCTGTAGGCTAGAATGAAGTGTCAAAAACATGTTGGAAGAAGGTGATGATACTTCTATACTGCTCCCAAGAAAACTGACTAAAATCATTAGAACTGAGTTCATTCTGGAAATGATTTTCCTTAAAATAAATTACATCTGGGAGTTTATAAATGGGATAGAACAATTATTAATGTCTAATGTTCTTCTAATGTTTATGTTGTGTATTGTCTTTGTTTTTAGTAACATTCACAAAATAGTATTAGCTAAAATCAAAATATATGTTGAAATACATTGTTTGCTAAAATTAAGAATTAAGGGTTCACACTATAAAACTAAATCTCAATGAAAAGTCCAATTGAACATGCTTGATGCCTATAGCAACTAGAAGTGAATGCAACATGCAAGATGTTTATCATTCTTGTTTATATTTTGAATATTAATAATAAAGTCTCCCTTCAGTCAAGTTTAAGTGCTAGTGACCATATTGACACATAGTCCAACAGAAATTTCCAATAATTCTAATAACCACTCTTGTATTTTTCTGTGGTACTATTTGTTTAGCCAGGGGGTTGGACTAGAAGACCTCCAAGGTCCCTTCCAACTCTGCTATTGTATTGTATTGTATTGTTTGATTCTGGCACTGAGAGAAGACCAAACGGTAAATAAATATTGCTTTTGAAATTCCTGAATCCTGGGGAAAATGCATTTTCCAGGTTTCAAATTTAATATTATCTAACTTTTATACTATTGTGTAACTGCAAACTGTTAATTGCTATACTTAATCTGATATGTTTACTCCTTTTTCATAGCCCTAGGATAAAATTTAAAATAAACGAAGGCATAGAAATTTAATACATAAAAAAATCTGGGTGCTTCCCTTTTAATTATTTATTTAAAATATCTGAATGGCCACTAACCTAGTACAACTCTAGCTGGCTTACACTACTTGCCTAAAGCTAAATGCTACAGCCAAATTTCAGAAAAAGGAAAAGAAAACTTTGAAAGATTACTATAGTTTTCTATGGAGGCAATATAACCACAGCAGGTAAAGATGTCACATTATAAAGTTTCAATATATTTTCTAAGAATATGTCTCTCTCTTTCTCTCCTTCCATCCATCCATCCAACACCAGGGTCTGAAGAAGGAACTAGAGACAACGTGGAAAGTAAAGATCAAAGTGGTCCTAGTAGTGACAGGATGTGATTCCTAAGCTGGAAGAGTGGTTCCAGAAGATCCCAGGAACGTAAGAGTTCTTTATCTAGAAGAGTGCAGTGCTACAAACAGCTAAGGTATTATGCAAAGCCCTCAACTCCCAAGGCACTGGTAGAAGACCTAAGATTGAGGCTGACACATACAAGCTATAGGATGAAAAGGGAATTTCAAAAATTATTTTTATATATACAATGATGATGTTGTGTTTAATAGTTATTATGATGTTATATAATAGTTGATATTACTGTTTTTATTGTTTTCATATATTATTAGTATAAACAACTTATGGGTTTACATCAAAAAAGCAAAAATATGCTGTACTGCAGTATGTGGAGTGGTAGGCGTTCAGTTCCACAGCTCTCTGGAACAGCTTGCCTTGCAGAAACCTAACAATGTGAGTGTCAAGCCTGCAGTTGTATCCCTTTTGGGATCTTTGGCCTGCCACACTCTATTTTTTCATTGTGCTGTTTCATTGGTGTAGTAGTTGGGAAGGGGGAATAGAAAGGAGTAGAATTGTGGAATGTGTTGTTGTCATTCTTTTCTAGAAACCGAAGGTCATCTTTTGTCTCCGCACCTCTGCACCTGACCGGAACCAGCTGGGTGGAGATACCAGCGTGGAAGAAGTTTGGACCATGCGATGGAATTATGGATGTGGGGATAAGATCATG